TATATATATATATCTTTATTGATTTCAGAGAGAGGAAAGGAGAGAGAGATAGAAGCATCAATGATGAGAGAATCATCATTGATCAGCTGCCTCCTGCATGCACCCGACTGGGGATCAAGCCCGCAACCTGGGCATGCACCCTGACCTCGAATCGCCATCTCCAGGATCCTAGGTCGGAGCTCAACAGCTGAGCCACTCCAGACTGGGCCTGACAGGTCATTATAATGCCAGAGCTTGCCATAGAGTCAGCTGAGGCTTTGTGGCTTCTGCATTGCTGCCCTTTTCTCCGGCCTGAGCCTGTTTCTATCCCTTTTCTCCCACAGGTGTTGATCCCTAGGACATTCCTTAAGAAACACCTTGCACACTAAACTTCATCCCAGAGTCTGCTTCCTGGGAACCCAACCTGCAACAATACATTGATGCATGGTTCACAGACTCAAATGCTTTCAGGGGCGTGGCAGGTATATAAATGAATGAAGCTGGTTGGGTTTAACATAGCAGGGAGTGGTGGAGAACAAGATGAATTGCAAAGGTTGTACCCCATCTAAAATTTTAAAAACTGTAAAACAACACTGTGTACAACGGGCAATGTGTGTAAACTCAGTTCAGCCCATAGGCCTCCTGTTTATGACTTGTGCTTTAAAGGTGTACTCTCTCTTTTGTTAATTAATATACTTGCCCCTGCCTTTGATAAGTCTTTTGAGTTTGGTCACTGTAGGTTAGACCTTAAAAGCTTCCCCAATTTGCCTGGCCAGTGTGGCTCAGTGGTTGAGCATGGACCCATGCACCAAGAGGTCAGTGGTTTAATTTCTGGTCAGGGCACATGCTCAAGTTGCAGGCTTGATCCCTTGTGAGGGGAGTGCAGGGAGCAGCCTATCGATGTTCCTCTCTCATAGATGTTTCTATCTTTCTATTCCTCTCCCTTCCTCTCTCTCTAAAAAATCAACTAAAAAGAAAAAAACAAAGCTTCCCTAAGTCATGGGGTGGTGTCACAAGGAGGCTCTGACCCTGCCGGGGTGCACACTAGACCTTGAACTGCAGAGTCTCACAGAGGTACTGCTTGCATAAAGCCGACCTTGAGCGAGCCTCCTTCTCTGACATTTATCTTAAATCATAACACATGCTATTATCTGAGAACAGCTCTGGCCTCTCTCCCCTCCTCTGTAGGCTTTCTAGGTTGTTACCAGCTCTGCTGTGTCTTTTTGAAGAGCATCCTGGTGGTGTATGGGGACATGAGCTAGCACAGGGTCCAGGGAGACAAGGATGCTGGCTGCAAGGTCTTAGAGGTCTGGGCCAGTTGAGAACAAAAAACAAATCTCCTTTTGGATGGGAGTTGACCCTTGAATATAAGGGTCACCACCTGAATGGTGGGACCATACCCTTTTTGAGGGATTGAAGTGATCTGGGTCACATCTGGTCTGCGTTTTTTGCTCCCAGCCCCATCTCACACTGGACTGCCCTGCTGGGTGGCTTCATTGAGCCAGAGAACAAAGGGGGAGTGCAGCACAGTTGCTAAGGCAACCTCCTCCCTTCAAGAGCCTGGCAACTGCTGCCCACTTCACCAGGACCTTGCTTTATCTGGGGCCCCTTGTTGCCTCCATGAGCACTTGAACTCGAATCCTCAAGAGGAAGTCCTTGAACATGGATTACCTGCCTGTATGGCTGAGGTTCCTAGTTCAGTGTGCCACATTTCTGCAAAACACTGTGTCCCGCATACTGTTTGGGGCTCTCAGGGGTTTATGAGAATCAGATTCCATGTGTGTGGGCCCCATACTTGTGTGGTTGGTAAAACACACTCACGAGAGCTGGGCTTAGTGTCTGAATAAAGGCATCATTGCTACTATGAAAACCAGAGGGTGAAACAGAAAATTATTTTAACAGAAGTTGTTTATTTTAAGAAGACACAAACAGCTCTAGCTATATAAAGAACACAATTCAATTGCTGGTAGCAAGCCAGTAAGGAACGGTTTTGTTTAAAAAAAGAAAGACTAGAAAAACCCTTTGTAATATCACCCCACAGAGGGCTCCCTTCCATTTTGTGTTGGAATTCTAGAAAGACTGGGATTCCAATCTTTATTAGTTTCTGTTGCTTCTTGAAATTTTTATCCATGGACACTTTCTCATCACTAAGGGGATTGCCTTATTTCTGCCTTCCAGTTTAGGATACTGGTCTGTAAATTCCACTCTCCCTTATTTTTCTTTAGTGCATTGTTGGCACTAAATAAGCATTGAACCATAAATGCTAATTTCACAAAAGTCCATCTCTTGACTATGCACAGTAGGACTAGCCAATCCTCCTTCCTCACTTTGTTTTTGGTAAGTGTGGTACTTTTGTTGTCTTAGACTCCAAGGTACAAGCCTGGTACCCTTCCTAAGTCTGTAAATCCTAAACAAAAGGCAGAAAGAAGCTGTTTCATGGGTGCTTTCAAACCAGGAAATCCTGAAAGTAACTTGTGTCTATGACTTTTTAAAATTTAGATTTCAGTAAGTGGGTAGATCCCTGGGCTCAAATGACAGAAAGCAAGCTAAGGGTCCTAAGAAGCAATCTGTTTAGATAGGAAAACCTGCAGCTTGAGAGGTATGTCTGAGTGACTGAGTCCTTAATGAATTACAATCATAGCTCTCTGAATGTTGGCCTGTCCAGAACTGACACAGAGGATTTTCTTCAAATGGCTTCTTGGGAGAGACCAGCACAAATCAGTGGAAAAGAAAACAAGAAAAGGGAAATGCCTCAGGAGTCCCCACAATCCCCTTCTCCTTCACCAGCCCCATCAGACCTGGACCTGGACCAGAGAACTGCTGTGAGCACTGAGTGGGATGTGTGTGTGTGTGTGTGTGTGTGTGTGTGTGTGTGTGTGTGTGTGTAAGAGATATACATTAGGGCATGGGACCTTCACAGTCCGGGTGGAGAAACCACATTTGCACACATAGGCACACACCTTCTCATTCACTCGTATCTCCCCATGTTTATATGAGCAAAAATGAAAATGTGACTCTGAGATTTAGGCCTCTGAATAACAGAATTAGAGATAGAGATGGAGCAAGATGGAGAGAGATGTGAAGAAGCTTTAAGGAATCCTTTTAAAGGTACAGGAAACAGGAGGTGGTAGTGTGTTGAATGCCTGCTGGTTGTGGTGCTTCCAAGGGCATCCCAAGGAGTTCACCTCTGGGGGCTGAGGCCCAGAAAGCAGGAGGTTTGAGCAGGAAAAACTGGAAGCACAGAATACCTTCTGTAACTCACGGATTTTCTTGCTGGGGCTGAGTCTAGAACAGGGCCAAATTACATTAGAAAATGGGCACGTGTACATTCTGGGTTTTAAAACCAGTCATTGGAACCTAGAGAGCTGGTGATTTCCTTAGGAAATTGTAGACTGGACTGGAATCTCATGGCCCTCTCATGGCCTGGGCCACCATACTCTCCAGAGACCGCCCTAAACTCATGATGGCAGTATGAGGCAGGGCGGGACTGATGAACCACAGTTTGGGGTTAATAATGGGACAAAAGAAATAAGAAATCTCAGAAATCCATTCTTCCCTGCCAGCTTACCCCCAAACTGGAGGAAGCAGAGGCACATTGGATAACCAGGATAGGAGGACTGGAGAAAACAATGAGGGTTCCTACACTTAGGTAGTCAGTGAGAATGAGAGATAGATAGATAGATAGATGATAGATAGATGATAGATAGATAGATGATAGATGATAGATAGATAGATAGATGATAGATAGATAGATAGATAGATAGATAGATAGATGATAGATAGATAGATAGATAGATAGATAGATAGATAGATAGCTATAAAGGGCACCCTATTGAAGAGTAACGGTTGGCATATGTAGCTCCTCTCCACCCACCACTATGTAGAATTGTGAGCCATAATATCCAGTACACAAGCCAGTGGGTCACAGAAGATAGTCTGGACCAGGGCTCAGCAAACTATGACAAGTGGGCCAAATCCAGCCTGTATGGCCCAAGAGCTAATAACAGTATTTACGTTTTTAAGGTGTAAAAAGGTGACCCTTCGAAGGGTCAAACAACAAAAAAGACCTTGTTACTGAGGCCATATGTGGCTCACAAAGCTTAAAATAGTTACTATCTGGTCCTTTACAGAAAATTATGTCAACCCCTGGTCTAGATGATGGGAAAAATATCACCACCCTCTGAGCATCCCTGGAAAGGGAAACCAGAAAATGTCCAGGAGAAAAAAGGGAACAATGGAAATGACTGGAAATACCACTGCATATGACTAAGATAGCCCTAAAGGGCCACTGCCTGCAACTCCACAGAATAATGAGGTATGCATGAACAATGCATAGCTAAGGAGAGAGTCACACTAATGAACATTAGACAAAGAATGTTCTGGAAAAGAGACTGCATGCAGAACTCAGTATTGATTAGGGAATTCTGTTATTGTTTGGTAAGATGGAGACAGAGTTTGAGCCCAGGGATTGACAAAATATCAAGTTAGGTAAAGTTTCTAAAACACAATTAAGTATCTCATGAGCATCTAACAGTCTGAAAATCTCATAAAATTTAAGAAGGGAAGGATAAAGTAGATTCTAGGAAAGCCTATATTGGCTTTCCCTACTTTAAGTAAACACTAGTTACAAAAGTTCACATTAAAAAAAAGTAGAGGCTTTTAGGAGACATTGACAAGAAGATTCTTCGTTTTTCAAAAGAAATCACCAAAAGATTCCCTTACATAGGAAGCTTCTCTCCTAAAATATGGAATTTTATCCAAAAAAAATCATTTTTCAAATGACTTTTAAGGAAAACGTCCGTCGTACAAAGTAGAGCACATATACTGAATTTGGAAGGAAATGACTATTTCTAAATTGAAAATCAGATTTGTCTTTGGATTCATGAACTAAAGAACTTGACCATTTTTCATTAAAGCATGTATATTATTTTACTGAAATATCTGGGAAATTCATGTGTCATAAAAGTAGAAGCCAGCTGTGGGTCTTCTATAAATGTTGTACTTTAAGTGAGAAAACATTGGACCCAGAGGCAGGAGGCCCGAGACTGAGGCCAGGCCTTGCCATCGTGTGACCTTGTGTAAGTTATCTAACTTTTCTGGGCCTCGGTTCTTCATCTGTAAAATGAGAAGTTGGTTCCTTTCAGCTCTAATATTCCGTGACTACAGATAAATATAGAAATAAGATAAATACAACAGTCTAGAAATAAGAAATATTCCCCAAAGTACCTTTTGGAGTCAGTAGAAAAGTAGCAATGAAATATAATAAAAAGAATAACATTTTAACTACTAGCCAGAGTAAATATATCTCATTTAAAAATTAATGAAAAGATTTGCAACTTAAAATTGATCAGGAGAAATAAGAACATACATATTGATAATTCTTCACCATCATACATATGGAGGAGAAAATGAGTTTGGGGTGACTTGTACAATGAGCACGATGCTGTGTGTGCATGCATAACATTTTATAAAATTGGACATTAAAAAAGGTCAACACCATCTAAGGAATAAATTTCTATAAAGTTTGGCATTAAAGAGAGGCTGAAAGGGGTTAACTGGTTGTTCCAGCTGGTATTTTGTTTGAGGATTTGCTGATACCAAATTCTGCTATTTAGGCAAAATCTTAAAATCAAAAATACTACTTCCAGAGCCCTTCTAGAGAAAAACCGCCATGGTGAAGACAGGTATTTAAGGATTGGAAATACCAAACAAACATAACATCTTTTCCTTTTTCCTATTTGTGAATTACAAAAGGTTTAAATAAAAACAGGCCAGATATGCTGACTAAGTTAAATCAAAGATTTTGCAGGTTGAGCAAGTAGTTGATTCGATCTGATAATTTCTTAACACCAAGCAACATACACCTGACCAACATGAAAATATAGATCACTTAGCCAGAGACTGATCAGAAATGATGGGAAGGTTGGATTCATTTGGAAAGTCATGGCTATAGTGATTCAGGGGCTTGAAGAAGTACACACACACACACACACACACACACACACACACACACACACACACACACATTCCAGGGCTGCTGCTCCTGCTGCTGCTGCTTGTGGTGGTCCTTGGACCATGCTTTGAGAGCCACTGGTTTAAATTTGGGGCTTTACTGAACAAAGTATATACCTATTTCAGACAACCCATTACTTATGCAAATTCTTTTTTGCTAAACATATTAAAAGTGTCTCAAATGTGTGTCTGTAACCATTTACTACTATATTCCTCTATAATTCTGTTTCCAAGTATTCTAAAACTGTTTATTTAATGTCATTGTTTAAATGTTTATAATTTTTGCTGCCTTTTGACAAAAGCAGCTCTTTGTACCTGTTTCCCTCTCTCTTGTCCTTTAAAATCCCTAATCACTTATAGCTGAAATAGACTCAAAGGCTTTGGAGGGACTGAGTGCTGTGGGATAGATCTGGTCTCATTCTCACACCAAGCTGAAGTGATAGCACAAAACATAGATGGCAGGGAGAAGAGGCTTGCATTCATTCAAGTTGTACCTCCAATAAGTTTAATAATCATCACTAATACTGACTGGATGACTGACATTGATCGGACAATATTGGACAGTTTCACCTTTCACAAACAGGACACATCTTCACAAACTCTTTAAATCCTTTTTTTTTTTTTTTTTACTCAAATGAGAAATAGTATTAATTTCATTTGTGAAAACATGTTCATGTACAATATGAATTATCTAGGTCTTTTCAGTGGCGTTTGGTAGGATTTCTGAGAGTCCCTTGGTAGGAGCCACATTACACAGCACTGAGTATTAGGAGGATTGACTCAACCACCAGGAATTTACTAAAATAATTCCAGGAGGTTAAAGTATTTTCTGTATTCTGGAGTTAGCTGTCAGAGAATTTGGCCTTTTGATGCTTAAAAACCCCCACTTCTGCAACTAGTTGATGCCTAAAATTCTACAGTAGAATTTCATTCCTTTGGCATAAGGCTTTTCCCCTGTTAAACTATAAACAACCTTCAAAAGAGGTAGCATTAAGCCTTATAATCTCAAAGTAAAGGAATTTATCCCTTTCCTGAGAGCATGCTTTTCTTAACTAGGAAGAGGACAAACTAGGAGGCACTCAGAGGAGCTGGTGCTGGGAAGCAAAGTCTGAGGATAATGGAGCAGAAAGAGACCAAGGATCCCAATGACAGACCTCCAACTCATTCACCATTTTGCTGATGGGCTATCCTGTTGGCATCCCTTACTAAAATGGGTCCTAACTTGCCACTTGGAGCAGGTTACTTAGAAAGCAACCATGTTTTCTTATAAGAATTAAGACTATTTTATATATAAGCATACAAAGGTTTACAGTAGTGGAAAAACAGATAGCAATAAAAACATCTGGTGCAACAACACGTAGGGAGCTACCCCCCAAATCAGAAGAACCATGCTTGTTCATAGGAAGAAGATAAACTGATATTACTTTATGGAGTGCAAATCACAGGACCAGGATGAGGGTAAGACACTTGCACAGCCCTGAGAGTGGGCACCTACTTAAATTCTGCACCCCAGGCACCTCATTCACCCCACTCTAGTCCTGGCCCTGGCAAATAATATTAAAGTGAAAGCTCACCACTGTGTTACAGACTTGGTGATAATGAAAGGCTGCACTGGTGAGGAAAAGAGCACTGGCCATGAACTAGTTTTTTTAGGGAATAGTTTGTTTATGACCAAGAGGGCAGGTGCATGGACAGATCTGCTCAGACTGATAGGTATAGTAGGATTGCAATCCAATCCGTGTTGTCTAGAGAGTTACAATGGATGTCTGGTAAAATGCTTGTAGAATCTCCTCTGTCTTTGCACATTCAAGGTGATGTCTCCAGATCAACTGGTTGATTTGTGGTCATTAAGCTAACATGAATTAATTTGCTGCCTTGCTCTTGCCTCCTTAAAGGGTGAGCTGTCAGCTAAGGAAGCACTTCACAGGAGTTGTGACTAAGGGACAAGTTGGGGCCAGGTGGAAGTCCCAGGAGAGAGACTGAGGCAGGCAAAGGAGAGAAGACACCAGCAAAGCTTCCTGTTATGCTGAGAATGACTTGCTCTCTCTCCTCAACATCTGTATCACAAATATGTAATGAATACCCATCAAGTGCAAAGCACTCTTAGTTACCAACCAACCTCTCCTGGGGATGACTTCCTGCACTCCTGACTGGACTGAAATCAGTCTGGCAGAGCCACCTGCTGCTATTGGTTGGAATCAGAGGAAACAAAGGGACAAAAACAACTTGAATTGGAAGCTGACCTCCTGGGGCCAACTACATTTCACTTGCGCCTCTTCTGTATTCTGCCTTCAAAAATTATTATTATTCACACTAGTAATAGTGACAGTAGTAGGTTCCCTGAAAGCCTTTCTGGAGGGGCTTTCAGCCACTCTTCTCCAGTCTCAGCAGAGTAGGTGCGGAAGGCAGCAAATACTGTGGTTTCTGCCTGGGTGGGAGAGAGAGTTGGTGTTACAATAATCAAGAGGAGGAGAGAGGTTGAGTGTTAGGAGTAGGAAAGTTGTTTAATGTTCTGTTCATCGATGATTGGTAGAAATAGTACAGTTTGGTTGTTTGTTTGGAACTAGGTCCACTTGTTGCAAAACATTAAATGAATATTTCCAGTCCTCAATGTTACCTCTGACCATACAATCTCTGTCCCAAATCCTCTTGTGCTAATGGGAACACCACTGGACATTTGAGGGCCATAGTGGTGACGTAGAAGATGTTCTAAGAAATCCAAGTATACAGAGTATGGTAGAAGAAAGTAAGACCCAAGGTAATTGAAAAACATAAAGGTGTCCAAGCACTTAACTTAGAATCTTTTGGGGAAATCACCAGAGGTAGCAAGATGAGAGGAGAGGCAAAACCCACTAGAAGCAGCAAACAAGAAGCTTCCAGAAAAATCAGCAGAAGTAACAAGTCCTATACAGTGTGAGTCTCATACTTGGTTTTAGAGTTCAGCTATTTATAGTGGTTCCTAAGAAGGCCCTGGCTGCCCTTTACCTTTGTTAGGCAAAAGCACAAACTCTCCTTCATGTCCCTACAGAGCAAGATATTTGCGTCTTTTGGAATTCTGAGTCTGGGACAGACAAGTGTGGTATTCACATATAAATTAAGGCCAGGAATGAATCTATTTTATCTCAGATAAAACCCCTGAAATTTGGTCAGGTCCTTTGAATCAAATAGTTTGAATACTTTCCAAAGCAGCTGGGATTTTGCTGTTTATTATTTTAAATGGCTTTGGTCTAAATCAGGGGGAAGTCCTGATTGCAAGGGAGTGGATGGGTCTGGTCTGTACTCAGAAGTCTAGAATTCAGAACTGTACCAACCAAGGTCTTAGGCCCAGGGCTTCTGGGTAAGGGGCTGAAGTCTTCTCAGCACTCAGTGTGGTTTTTCAGCTGCTCTGTCCCCTGGAGTGTGGGCAGTTGTTCTAAGAGCTTGCTTCTCATTGGTGAGCAACACGACCTATCAAAATCAAGATCTGCTTGTCTCTGGGATAGTTTCTGCATCCTCCAGGAGGTTGACCAATGAATCTGTTAGGTAGAGGGGGGTGAAGGAGGAAGGAGTCAGGGAACCCTCTTTGTGAAGCAGGCTACTATTTCATTTGACTTCTTTTCCCCTTTTTGGACAGTGGACAATTACCTCTCCATTATTGGTCAGCTAATTTTCTTTGTTCAATGCTTTGTCTGTTTTTTCCTCAACCTCCCAGAAATCAGATGTATGAATATCAAATGAATCACTGCTTTGGCTTTGCTTAGAAAACTGAACTGTCAAGGACAAACAGTGCCTATAAGCTTTGGGGTGAGGTGGGGGGGTCACAATGATTGTCTGGGGTTCCATCAGCATCCCATTTATCCAGTTCTTACCCTCTGTCCCCACATGGTTAACTGAAAGTTGGTCAAACAGCAGAATCCAAATGGCAAAAAGTAGGCTAAATTGTGTTATGGGCAACAGCAACTTGCAAGGCTGCCTTTTAGATTCTGGATATATCCTCTTAGTCTATATTTTCTCAGTTCTGGACCATAGTAAGACTTTCTTTAAACAAAACAAACCAACTGCAAATCACAATCTGAACTGAATGGTGGTGGGCAGGTTACATTTACTTTCTCTTGAGCCTTTGATGATACTGTTCGTTCAGCTAATTACTTCGTGTAATGAATGTTATATGCCAGTGAATTGAAAATTCTTCGAATGCAGCATAAGCTGGGCACAGATCCTAGCTATTATTGTTGACAAACACTAGAAGGATCTGAAGGCGTGGTTGCGAGTTACCTCTGATAGATCAGAGTGGACAAATGGCTGCCTTGTTTGTTGGCTGAACTTGGTTCATCCAAAGTAACCAGGTCCTGACCTTTTCTAGCTAAGGGTTGGGGTGAAGGGTCTGTATGTTATTGAAACTCATCACCCTGATCACCTTGTAGACAATCAAACTGAAAAAGGCATGAAGTTCAGGACAGAGTAATATTCATATTTTGCACAAAAGCCATCCAATCAACTCATGCCCAAGTAAATGCACACCTGCAAACCTCTAGTGGGAGAGAGTTAAACTGTGGTTGAAGAGGCATCAGAGTCTTTCTGTCTCTCCACACAAGTTATCAAGGCCTTGCCAGGAAAGTGAATAATCAGCAATGGCTCCCTATGTTCTCAGGTTTGACAGCTCCCAACCTGCTCTCATACTGTGCCCCTCAGTGTCAGGAGCCAGGGATGGAGCAACCAGTCATTGAAAAGATGGCATGTGTACCCTTGCATCTGAGAATTTCTTCTTAGTGTACACCACTGGTAGAAAATAAGGAGAAAATCTGTAGTCAGTAATGGCAAGATTTTAAGTATGAAAATGTAAAATGTTTGAGCATGATTAAAGTGCCTGATGATTTTAGTTCTAGATAAAGTGGTTTCTCTCCTGTTGTCCAGAGTGTGAGTTAAAGTAGAAGAAATGTGGGCTCTTTTGTTATTTCCATGGTTTCTTTTTAAAACCCTTTTTCTTCCCTCCTTTCTACTCAAGTTTAGTAACCAAACCCTACTTGCTTAACCCAGGGCTTAGGTACTAGGGCTATCGGTGGTGTCATAGTCTTTTGAAAACTGTGCGATAATTCTCCGAGCCAGTGGGTTAGTGGTCTTCAGCAGTTCGGCTGCTGAGGGACGGGACCTTGGAGTTGCCTTACTTCCCTTCTTCTGTAGCAAGGCCTTGAAATCATCGTTTCTGCCAGCATCTAAGCTGGCACTGCTGCTTGACCCTGCAGAGGTAGCCGACTCACTAATTGGAGAATCAGCTGTATTCCTTATTGGTGAGTGGGAGCTTGGTCTGCTACCTCCAGCAAAGGCCTCACCGGGCTCCTTCCAGCCAAGCAGCTTTCTTTTGGACCTAAATAAGAGAAGGTTGGCTTTGAGTGAGTTTGTGTGGCGGACATTTCCTAATGCTTCATATAACTTCAGAAATGCCAGTGACATGATCTGGGACTTTCTACACAGCAGTCTTGCAAGCAGTCACACTCACCATCTTTCTCTCTCACCACTAAGTCCTTGGGCTCCCTTGTCTGACCCCCTCTCCCTACACTTTTTTCAATTCCTGAAGCTGGAGTCATTGGCCTGTGCCTGCAGGCTGAGTCCTGCCCAGGTTCTGAGACTCAAGAAGAATTTAAGGAGTCAAGGCTAGTAGCTCAGTGACTCTGAATCATTACAGCCTGGGAGCTGATCCTGTTCTGAACTGGTGCTCTTGCTCCAATAATTAGGTTCTATCCAGTTTCCTCCTCACAGAGCCCCTGCTTTGTGCCCCTGTTCAATAACTGAGTCCCCATCTGTTCCCCCTTGCCGAAGCTCCTGCTCTGAAACTCTGCCTGGTGCCCCACTTCACTTCTTGATAAGATTTTTGGTACAAGGAATTCTGTGAAGGGTTAAATGTCTAACTGTAGATAAAGCTGTGAGAGAGCAGATGGAGCCACAATAGGCCTTGTGGTTGCTAAGAGACGAGGGGCCTCTCACTTGGCACCTGGTCCTCTCTTTCCCACCCCTCCTCCACTTCACCCAAAGATGTCAGTGAATTGGCGATGTGAGGCCCTGGACTGCTTTCTCATATGTGGGTATCTGGACTTAAGTCTCTAGTTTCAATTTTAATGGCTACTTAGAGGTAGCAGTTTGTCTTTTGGTATTAAAAGGGAAGGCGATTACAATAGGAATTAAGGAAATTGGTCCAGACCTGTGTATCACAGTAAATAAATCTTCGGTTGTGCGTGAAGTCACAAACACGTCATCATCATCTTCTGCAATCCATTCAGCTGTTTTATCACTGATAACACTTTTTTCTTCAGTGCTTGGTTCCATAGTACTCCCTAGGTATAAGAACCAGAAGGAATTACTTTGACCACAATAGTGAGGACAAAGCACATTCTCATCTGTATTTTATTTGATGCTCAAAACAACTTGAGAAGAGCAGCAGGGCAGAGACTCTTAATGTCTCCATTTTGCAAAGGAACATGATGTTCAGGAGGTTAGTGATTTGGCGAAGGTGGACTCAGTGTTAAAGATCAGCCTGGGTCCCTGTTCTCTCATGCCTCTTCCCTTACAACGCGTTTCTTGAGCACTCTCTTATTTTAAACGTGTCATTTTAAAGATCAAGGAGAGCAATTAAAACAATGACTCAATCAGTGGGTGGGAGAGGGACCTGTCTGAATCTCAGAAGGAGCTTGAGGAGTTTGAGGAAGAATATTCTAAAATTACTTGTAGCTTTGATTTGTTTGCATGTTTTAATCACAATGATTTAATTTATGTTGAAAGTCCAAATCAGCTTAAGGAAGGCCAAAAGATTTTGATGTTTGGTGTTAAGAGTTCAAAAAAGAATGAGAAACATGGATGAACCTGAAGGACATTATGCTAAGTGAAATAAGCCAGTCACAGAAGGGCAAATACTACATGACTCCACTTATGTGAGGTCCCTAGAATAATCAAATTCAGAGACAGAAAGAAAATGGTGGTTGCCAGGGGCTGGAGGGAGGGAGCAATGGGGAGTTTTTGTTTAATGGGTGTAGACTTCAGTTTTGCAAGATGAAAAGAGTTCAGGAGATGGATGGTAGTGATGGTTGCTCAACATTGTCAATATACTTAACACCACCGAACTGTACACTTAAAAACAGTTAAGGTGGTAAATTTTATGTATATTTTACCACAATGAAAACAAAAAGAGGGACGAAAACAGGGGGAAACAAGGATGAGAGATATCATCTAGCCTAGTCTTATTGTTCCAGAAAGAGCTAACCATTCATGAAAGTGAGCTCCCTTTCCTCTCGAAAGCACCAAGAAAGTCTGGTAACATATTCCATTGCTTTAGAAGCCTGCAAGTACTACCACGGCACTAAACTCAGCCTGGGAGGATACCGAACCCCATGCATGAAACTAAATTCAGTGTGGTTAGTGAAAAGTACTGTACAGTAAGGTAGAGAGAGAGTTCCTAGGGCAGGGGATGCATGCCTGACTAGGTAGATGGGCTCCTAAGGTCCTAAGGTGCTAAGACCTAGTTTAATTTCATTACCTCAGCACTGGGGGTTCCAGGGTAGATTGGCTCAAACTGAGCTTTGGAGATCCACCCCTGGGTCAGTTCTGATCCCAAGGGCAGTGGAGGCCTATTTAGAGTAACCCAAACCATCAAGAGGTGCACCTACTAACTTGGTCATCCCAGGGTCTGGGTCATGGGGCATTGGCTCCTGTCTCTGACACTCCATTTTCATCCTTATCTCTCCTGGGATTGAAAGGAAAAGCCAGTATTTACTAACCCAGAGGGCTTGCCTCCCTTTCATCGTTGGCCTGTGGCGTGGAACTCATCCTTGTACCAGGTGATTGCAGGTGGTCGCCGGTGGGGTGACACTTGGCATCTTCCTCCAGGGTGATGATTGGGCTTACAGTCAGTCTTGGTTCAGTCACGTACACCTCCATTTGAGCTGTGGGTGAGGTGAGAGGCAGGTACAACACGCTGGGCTTTTTTGGTACAGGAGGTGGAATCTTGCCTTTCTTCTTCTCAGCCTGTTCCTGGCTCTGGAGGCTAATTCTTTCAGGCAGGGCTCTCACCTTGGGACCCTCATCCTCTGTACTTCCTTGGGGAGGCTGCTGTGTTCCTGAGCAGAAAGTACCAGAGGAACTGGCAAAAGGTGTGAAAACAAGAGATGAGGGTGCTGTTGACTCTGCTGGGCTTTTGGCCTCAGGGAAGCTAGAGGACTTTGGTTTCCGCACCACTGTGTAAATGTCTGGAGGGAGTGGCCTCATGTGTTGAATTGAGCTCTTAAGGGTCATAGCCATAGTAGGTGAAGTTAGTGGGTACTCCTCGGGCACAGATGGTGGCTTGTGGACCAAGCTTGGAGGCCTTCGGGCCACTGGGGGTTTCTCAGCTATGGGAGGTTTCATTTTTCTCTCTGGCAAGGTGAAGACCTCTCCTCCCGACTCCTCAGCACATTCAGGGCTCTCGATGTCATCTTCTGGCTCAGACTTGCTTACTGACCTCAGGCGAACAGAACGTAGATCAGACTGAGTAACCATGGGCATGATTGGCTGGTTTGGGCTAGTTTTCTGGACCAACTTAGCCCCAAAATTTGTGTCTGAGTGATGCCGGCTCACCTTGGTTTTGCTTCGGATGGAGATACTCATCCCAGACAGATCCAAGTAGGTAGAAGAGGTCAATGGTAGGTCAAATGATAGTCGTGACTTGGAAATTTTCTCCATTGGTGATGTTGGAGGTAGTGAAGACTTCCTCTCAGGTACCACTGGACGTACCCGGACACTGCCACTTGGAGGGGGCAAGTGGCCCAGGGTCAAGGACATGGAGACAGTGGGTGTTGGTGTTTCCGACTGACTGGAGTATCCACTAGAGGGTGACATCAGCCCAGTGGGCCTTCCTGGAGAGGGTACCTCCCTGGCCTCTACTTCAATGGAGAGTTGGGATGGAGTAGTAGCTCTGGAGGTGGAAGGGGAGGCAAGAGACTCTGAGCTGCCCTGAACTTGGGTGCGCTCAATGACTGTGGTGCCAGTAGCAGTGCTGGAGCTGGACAAGGACTGGTAGGTATCACCAGACTTCCAGTCAGTAAGATACCAGTGGTGGGAGAATTGTGTACCTTCTGGATCTTTGAAGGTGGGCACAGCTGGGTGACCTTGGGATGAGTGACGTCCTTGGTGTTCCAAGGAGAGGCAAAGGCTCCTGGGCCTCTGGTCCTTGGGTAGTGCTGACCCACCTTCTGGCAAGAGGACTGGCTCATCTTTGACCAGTGAGACACTGCGTGTTGGTGGGGAAGGCTTCTTTTTGGCCTTCTTGAGTGAGATACTCTTGGATCTCTGCCTTCTATGCTGGGCCTCCTGTTGGGAACTAAGGGAGGCAATGTTTTCAACACTGTTACTGCCCTCAGAACTTGTACTGGCATAAGGCAGGGCACAGGCTTCACTGGACTTCTGCTCCTCATCATAATCCACATCTGTGGTGCCAGAGTCTGTGGGCACGGACAGTGACCGCTCCCGGAACCTGATGGCCCCACCTGAGCCTTTCTCCAGCCTTGAGGTACCACCAGTCAGAAGGCCAATCTTGAAGTGTTGCTCTGATACTTGCCTTTGTTGCATAGGGTGCTCAGAGTAGCCAGCTGACCCACTGCATCCTGCTGGGTTATCACGAGTGACAAAGAGTGTAGCAGCCTCCTTAGGAACCAGAGGTGTCAGTGTGTGCACAGAGACCCATGAATTCCCAGAGGAAGGATTTTTTCCATTTTCATTGACTTGATTGCTCTGACTGGTGGCACTTGGAGTCATATAGGTAAAAGCATTTCCTTTCCAGGAAGCAGAGAATGTAGATTCTGTTGGTCCATTGCAAGAACTGGGGACGCTATACACCATTCCCATGCTTTCCATGTCAGGAGGCTTGGTGCCAGCATGTGCCTGGAGAGGTTCTTCCAGATCACTAGAAAGATTTCTCAGTCCTGATGAGGTGAGATTTGGGAAACGAGCTTCCTGACCAATTGCAGCTCTTCTTCCATGAACACCTTCTGGAACAGAATGATTGGGCTTGATGTCTGAGCTGGTAGAATGAGCCACCCTGCCTGTGGGGCTGTTGCTGTGACCTGGAGGAGGGAAACACAGAACATTAGTGGTGCAGCTAGGGATTTCCCAGAAGCTCCTGTGACAGCAGCACCAAATTTTTGCCAAGAAGCATTTGCCAACAACTTAGAATTCCTTGGTTCTTCCTTTCCATAGATGACAATGCGGGGGTAGTTGAGTCCTTGCCCATCATGATATTGTGAGTCACAGGGTGCCCTTGAATTGTCCAGGTGACTGCCAAAGACTTTCCAGCTTTGATTATTCCTTTTGGAGCTGAAGTGGCAGGTTGGACTACGTTGGGTTTTTCCCAGGCTTTCACCCCAGGCTCATGAAGGCATCGCAAGCCTCAGTGTAACCTCTGAAGTTTTTCAACTATAAAGGACAGTACTGTGTGACTTTCAGCTCCAGCAATGAATTTGGAGTATGCCACAGTCTGGTTGCATTTTTGGCACCTGTCACTTTTTAGCTTTGCAACATGAGAGACTTAAGATAACCTATGGACGTGAGGCAACTGTTCAAGTGTTCAAATTCCCAAAGATTTCTCATACACACAATTATTACTGTTCTATTATTATTCCTTCTACTACTATTATAATTTATAATAACAGCCACCATTTGTTGAACACATACTATGTACCAGGCACATGGTAGGCAAATTACATACAATGACTCTAATCTTCATGGCAACTCCGCCAGGTTGGTATCATTATCCCCAATATATAGAAGAAGAAGCTGAGGCTCAGAGAGGTTGTATAACCTGGCCAAGGCCTCACGGTTAGTAAGTGGAGACTCCAGGATTCGCATCCATACCTCTCTGGTCTGTGCTCTTTGGATGGCATTAATTTAATAGCAGTAATGGTTCTGCTAAGATGGTGCTTTTAGTGCTGCTTCCCCCCCCCTTTACCTACTTGCCTAAACTTGACATATATGGTTATATTTCATTTATAATGGGAAACAATAACATAATGAATTTATAGCTTGGGAGACCTGCTCTTTATATTCGGTTGCTCCCCTTGACCGAAGGCCCTTCATTATCTTTAATTTCCACACTGACTTTTTCAGGATGTCCAAAGCCCCCCTCCCAAATTATTCCTGTTCTCCATAACCATCATACCACCTGGGTGACTGGATTGGTGGAAGTGAACAAGGGGAAGGGTCTGGGGGATCAACTGTGGTGGGGTCACCTTGGTCTCGCTGGGAAAAGTTAGAGAATCCAATAATGGTCCTCCTCCGCCTCAGGGTAGACTTGGGGTTCACGGCTGTCTCTGTGTTAAACAAGGAGTGTCGCAAACTTGCATATTTATCAAACTGCTGCCCTGTAGCCAAAATAAAGACACTTGGGTGCATCTTGGTTTCTGTTTACAGTACAGTGGAAATGGGCCTGAGGTAGAGAGAAGGGATGATGGCAGTAGCAATGAGCATGAATAGCATCCAGGCAGGTGGCCCTTTTTCCACATCCCTCCCAACAACGCCCCAGACACCCAGAGCCCCAAGGCACACATGCTGGCTTTCATAGGCTGAACCCAGGGTCACCTGGGAGTCTTAGGTGGCCGAGAGCCATGGTTTTCAATCCTGGCTATATACTGAAATAAACTGAGCAGCTTTTGAGACTCCAATACCTGGACCTCATGCCACAACATTGAACTCTTTGGGAGGAAGGCCCAGGTAGAAGCTACTTCTCAAACTCCTCAGGTGGTTGATTATTCAGATGTACAACCTGGGGTGAGAAACACTGGTATAGAGAGACAGGTTTAAACTAGATGTTGCTTGATTGTAACCTTTTCTTTTCTTTTCTTTTTTTTCTTTTCTTTTGTAATCTTTTCTTAAAGAAAGCCTTTATGTGGGCCAGAGGACAATGTCTCCTAGAAGCTGCTTTGCCTCCCCCCATCATCCAGAAAACAGACTGATAGTCTGTCCTCCAGCCACCTTTGATTACATTTTGTCAAAGTTTCCCCTGGGTGGTGACTGAGATTTATTTCTCTTAAAGTGCTGGGTGAGGTTTTGTTCCAGTGGAATTGCTGCGGCAGGGGCAGGGTGAGAGACAGGGGGTAAGTCTGCTGCTTTCCTAAGTCTCTCATTCAACAGCTAGCTAACAAAACCCTCCCCTCTCAGCCTCACAGCTGCATATGATACCCCCCTCCCACAAGTGACTCTATGGGCAAAACTCAGGGCCAGCCTTATTGAGAGTAAGATAAGAAGTTTAGAAATGAAGTGCCCACCATCTCTTTATGAGTCTCTCCTCTCAGCCCTCACTTGTCTTGGTACATCTCCCTAGACTGTGGGTTCTATTTCCTGCCTCTGATTTCCTAAGATGACACCAATGGCACTGGGTAGCCCCATATCCAGGGAGCGTCACCACATGTGGCCAGAGCTGTCTTCATCATCTTCATCAACTTTCCCCAGTATACCACAGACCAATGCTGGCTCAAAGGGCGCCTCTGGCCCCTTTGGGTCATGAAGTCTTGATTTTATCAGGTTGCTGGCCCTATCTCCTTCTGTAAGGACCAACCCTCCTCCTCTTCTACTTACAGCTGGTGGAACGTGGAGCATGAATTAATAATGTGTGTGGTGTAAGTGTCACATGTTCCCAAAGTCACATCCAACTGAGCTACATACATCATTTTCCACACTTTTGAAGTAGTACTTGGCCCCCCTTTGGCCTTTTTGGCCTTGGTCTCTTTCTGTTACTTCCCTTCTTAAACACTTGCTACACGAGTTGAGGAGGCCAACCTCACTAGAAGACCAAGTGTCTACTTAAAGTACCGTTAAGCCCATGGTCTGCACCCTGGGTATGAGCCTCCCTTTTATCACCAGAACTCTGAAACTTACACTTTCCCTCAGACTCTTATCCAAACATAGCATCTAGCAGAAGTTTCCTTTCCCCAACCCAAACATAACACAAATTTTCAATGTCCATAGATGCTCTAAAGAACACAGAAGTTCATAAAGTTTCAGAGTTTTCTATTAAGAACCTTTTGTTTGTTATCAAATTGTCTGCTAGTGTGGCAGTGCCAGTAGAATGAAAAAAGAGCAGCCAGAGCCCCCTCTTCTGCATGCCTCCATTCGCTGGCAAGAACCATGACCTTGACAGTGCAGGGAGAGGCAGTAGCAGAGAAAGTCTCACTCCCTCCCCCCTGCACCCAGTGCATTTGAGAAGATGGTCTGTAGTTGGCATGGAGGGAAGCAAACAGAAGTGGTGCTAAGCAACTCTACCAGAGATGTTGATGGGCACAATGTCAGAGTGCGTGGAGGAAGGCTGAAGCCATCGCTTCTCCTCTAGGATGGGCAGAGGGAAGGGGCTATTCCAGGTGACTTGCTTGTCGGCTGTGGTAGACAGGCTCAGGGAAGCCTCAGGGGCCCTCACACCCTGCGTGGTAGTCTCATCCTCGTTCAGCTGTTGTTTTGTAGGCTGTTGGGAAAGAAGGTGATGGGGAGGGTGTGCTCCTGACTGGAGATGAACCATGCCCACAGGATGGCTGTCTAGGCAGGCTGTTTGGAAGCTTCATCTGGGAGGCAGGAAAGCGTGGCCAGGCTTCCAGGCCAGATACCTGCTGTGCAGGGCAAATTCAGCTGGGCCTCAGGGTAGCTCTGCTGATGAGCAGAGGTGAGCAGTAGCTTCCAGTGGATAATACAAACAGCTTGAGGTCCCTTGTCAATGGGTGCAGGGTGAGCTCTGCATGCTGGCTCTCCCAGGCAGGGTAAGAGGCAACTCACCATCAATACAAACTCCAGACGCCTGGCAGACTGGGGCCTTGGGCTGGGGGTGGGCTCAGGGGCCTCATCAGCAGAGCGGAAGGTCTGCCCCAGCAGTCTGGCCTCCGAGTACTGTTCCTCATATTCTTCTGAAAAACAGCACAGTGGATACACACTCTCGGGGGCCACGGTCAAGTGCCGGGCAGGGGTGGGGCCATGAGCCAGGGCTCCTGCTCTAGCTGCCAGGCCTGACTTGTGTGATTTCTTTAGGATATTTCCTGGCATCTGAGCCTCTGAATTCGGAAATGTAAAAATGCCTACTTCCTGGGACTATGATCGCTGAGGAGAAAAGAGAATCAAGAAACTTGAGTTGTGCTAGTTCTGGGACTAAGCCCTTATCTCCGTGGTCCACACCTTAAGTGCTCAACTCAGAGAAGAGGCTCAGGACACAGACACCTTTTGCTACTTTATGCTGTAAGGTCCTCTCGTTGAAGCCCTGAAGCTCTTCAGGTTTTCTGCAACCCTACCTAGGAAATGACTTGGGTGAAGCACAAGGAGATTCACATCAGGAAGTCCAATGTGGAGTGCTCCCTTGGATGTCAAGAACTCTTACTCAAGCCTCTGAGGGCTTGGCTTCCCATACCTTAGTCCCACTGTAGGTGGTGACAGGTCCAGGGAAGCTTAGGTGAAGGAGAGGAAGGGGAGGAAGTGGCATAGAAAGAAGGAAAATTTCAGGGGCATCGTCAGGGAATACGAAGGATGCATAAGATTTGAATTGGTTTTATTTTAGTGATGAATTAGAAGGCAGTGAAGGAATCTGATGAAATGAAGGAAGTGAGAGTGAAGAATCAACAGGCAAGGGCTCTATGCACATTTGAACAAAGACTTTAAGAATCATAAACTTGGAGTCAGGAAGGGCCTCAAAGGTTCTCTGGTCCAACACCCCATTCTGGGCTCAGACTTCCTCCTCAGCAGCCCTTCAATGTGTCTCTTCAGCCTCTGCACACACCCGCAGAGATAGGAGCAGCCCTCCTCCCACGGCCGCTGATTCCGTCCAAGGACAGTTGGGGCTGTCAGGTGTCAGAAAAGTTCTTTCTTATCTTGAGGTGAAATCTGCCTCCTTCTTGGTTTCCTCCCCCCAGTCCTAATTCTGCCCATGGTGGCAACACAGAACAGACTGACTTTTCCTGCATGGTAGCTCCTCTCTTATCTGAACACAAGGCTCATAGTGTCCTTTGGAATCTTGTTTCTCTAAGGTCACCACTGCCCTGGCAAAGAGGTGGGGGTTATGGCTATAGTCCAGTTGGGTGGCCATCTGCCATTTTCTGTTCTCCACTAGCGTTAATCTTCATTGACATGAATAAACAAGAGATGATAAGATGTCTTTTCACATTTAATGTTCACTCAAAAAATGTCTACTGAGCACCTCTTGGGGATCCAGCCCTGTGGCAGGTGCTTCTGGAAACCCAAGAGATGTGATTCTTTACATTGACAAGCTCATTTTGGTTAGGTGGACAAAATATACACCCAGGACTAGTAGATGAAAGAGTAAATGAATGAACAAATGGAAGAAAAAGCAGTTCAGAACTATACAAGTCCTCTTGAACTGGATGGTACAAATTTCCTCATATGAGTGCTTATGGAGGAAATGGTGCAAAGTGCAGAACTCGTGTTGAAAGTTTTCTTGGAAGAAGCAAGAATATAACTTTAAGGAAAGTGTAAAGATTGGAGTGGAGAAGAGGAAGGAAGGCCTTCTAGGCTTGGAAAAGAGGTCTGAATGGGGCACGAGGGCCTGAAGGGGGTATGGAGATTGTGACTTAGCAATGAGGTTTTATTTGTATTATTTTATTGAGATATAACTTAAGTGTATAGTTCAGTGAATTTTGACATATGCATACCCTTTGTAACCCCCACCCAGGTATTTGCAGCATCCCAGTAGTCTCTCTCATAGCCCTGAGATTTAATATTTTTGCCACTTACATTGGCTAAATCCCTCTGCCCAATGTGTATGTTTTTCATATTGTAAAGTTTTATCAGGGACCACCTTGTTTTTTCTTTTATATTAACTTTAATATTGTGCTTAGCTCAGCCCATGTTCCAAATGACATGTACTAGGAGTTGACGTTGCATCTCATCAGGGTCTCTCCAGCAGCAAGATACTCTTGCTAAGCCCTATTTTTAGTTCTCACAAAACTGTGCCATGTGGGGAATTGGAATTCCCATTTTAAAGATGACTGATTAATGTAAAGCTCAGAGAGGGCGGGTACCTGCATAATGTCACACAGCTAGGTAGGTGTGTGATTGGAATTAGATTCTAGCTCTGTCTGCTTTCCAAGTCTGAGTTTTCTCCATCTGCTTGGTGGGTGCAGTCTGACTGCTCAGGCACCCTGAGTGGGCTGTTTCTCTGGGTCGTGAGCATACTATGTGCTCAAAGACACTGGATTGGGAATTGGGGATGAAGTGAGCCCTGGGTGCTGTGTATTGGGCTTGCTTTGGTGAGGCAGTAGCTACCCAGGAGATCTGTGGACAAGGTTAATGCAAGAGTAGAGTGAGTGAAGCCCAGGGTGGGAGACTCTGAAGGTGCCTTCTTTGGCTTTGAGTGCCAGGATTCCAAAGACATGGGTGATGTGGCAAACGAAGGTCTGTATGTGGGCCACACTGTGGGAGTCTCTCACCTAGCTGTCTTTGGAAATGAATGATTTAACCCATTGCTCTGTCTCAGTTTCTGTCCTCACCTCCCCCAGGGGACTACTTAACTGAAAAACAGGGATGGTGGTGGTGGTAAACAGCCCTAGAAATAGGGCCTTTAAGAATCATTAGTCTAAAAGGTGACAGATGGAAAATGTGTTTTGTTTTTCAGTGGGTTTTAAACTGTTCTCTCTTTTTCTCTCGCTGGTCCCTGTCCTCTTTCTTCCGTGCCTCCCTCCAGCGGCTGCGCATCTGGCCTGTGGGTCCGGCCGCAGCCCCACACCCTCTCGGTACCTTGCAACAGGCTCTGGAGATTAAGCTGCGCCTCGCGAAGCAGCTCCTCTACACTCGGGGGCCTGCCTGAGGAGAGGAACACGTTCACTGGCTGTCGCCATGACGACCTCGAGTGGGCAGTCGCTGTCGCATTTTCCCGACCCGAGTTAGCTGCAGCTAGGGAAGGAGAGAGTCAGTGAGAGGTGCAGCCCAGAGGTGGGCGAGGCGGCCACTGGGCGTTAGCTGTGCCCGAAGTCCCGCCC